TTGAACAGGTCACATTCGTCCATAACACATCACAGCAAATCAGTACATGTGTTCAAAAAGGCTACATCTTGTATTGTTAACCGTAAACAAACGTTATGACAACATACGACTTGGTTTTAGGAATTTAATGTCCACATGGGTTTTTTGACTCGGAAATTATGCTCCCTAAGTCACACTCCCTTAGTGGATCAGTGTAGAGTGGAAACCTAGGGCAAAAAACATGTGTAATTCGGATTTGGGGTCCTAAACCAACAATTTAGTCGATTAACCTGTACTGGTTTAATCGACTAGGTTAGTCGACTAAACCAGTACAGGTTAATCGACTAAATTGTTGGTTTAGGACCCCAAATCCGAATTACACATGTTTTTTGCCCTAGGTTTCCACTCTACACTGATCCACTAAGGGAGTGTGACTTAGGGAGCATAATTTCCGAGTCAAAAAACTAAGATGAGTCAAATACAAATATCATGAGATCAAATACAAACATAGCACCGTCATTACATTCAAATACAAACATCAAGACATCGAATACAAGCATATAAAACCATAAATGCCTATAATGTTAAACCATCAAAACATTAAGCCCTTCCCCTGCTTCCTCCGCAATTCATCTTGTATTGGGAATCCTCATAGGACATGTACGTTTGTTGTGACCAATTTGCTTACACAGGCTACATCTACTCTGACTGCTTGTCGGTTGAGACTCAACCCAATCCATCTCATTCTGTATCCTTGACGATTTGGGTCTTCCTTGTGCACGTACCAAAGATGCATTTGGGATAATGGTTGGGCCATCAATTTGTGGAATCAACAACTCATTGCCCATTGGATACCAATGAGCAGCATATACCTTATCAATTTGTGCAATTGAGAACACAGGATCAAAATAATCATTGTGGTTCAACTTTTCTACCTTGCACACCGCTAAGACATGACTGCAAGGGAATCTTCTAGATGTGAACCGTCCACATTGACATTTGCGATTGAGCAAGTCCACCCTCATTATGTCACCTGCATCATGAGTTGATTGATTGTAGGCATCCTCAACTTCAAATAGCTGCAGGTCCCTATCAAAAACCCGCACACGGAGGCTCACTGTTAATTGATCATTTTTTTGGATGATATCCTCAACTTTTTTTGCAATTCTCCAACCCTTTGCCTTTGCCTTTTGGATCTTTTCACGTCTCTTGACGAAATACTCAACAAGTCTACTTTGAGTCATCTTCACCAATGCTGTTATAGGCAAATTACGTGCACCCCTCAGGACCTTATTCACACACTCAGATAAGTTAGTCGTCATGTGACCAAACCTCCGACCGTCCTCATCGTAAGACATGCACCATTTTTCTTTGGGAATCTGATCTATCCATGAAGCTACTTGAGGGTTACTGTCGATAAAATCCTGGAATCTGATATCAAAATTAATCTTTGAACTCAAGTACCCTGAAATACAAAATGATGCGTTAGATACAAAAGGATGAATTATATACAATTTGTACATATTAAAAAGAAGATTGTACCTAGCTTCATCAGGGTTTTCTTTAATTCCACATCTCTGAACTTAGTGTTAAAGTTGCTTCCGATGTGGCGTAGACAAAACACATGATACGCAAATGGTGGCTGCCAACCGGCATGATCTCTTACAGCCCTGATGATGCTGGGATGACGATCGGATATTAGACAAATGCCATGCTTATGCGTGACGTGAAAACGCATGAGGCTAAGAAACCACGACCAATCATCCAATCTCTCACCAGGAGGAACAATAGCAAATGCAATAGGGAGAATGTAACCATCTCCATCTTGTGAAGTTGCAATCAAAAGAGTTCCTTTGTATTTACCGTACAAATGCGTGCCATCAATTTGGATTATGGGTTTACAATATTTGAAGGCCTCAATGCACTGGTGAAAGGTCCAAAATACTCGGTGAAAGACAGCCTTATCCGTATACACTCGACGTTCATCAACACATTGGTCTGTATCAATCTTGAACACAGAACCCACATTAACCTGCGTCATGTATGTCAGCCAACCAGGCAAGAATGCATACGATTTATCCCAGTCGCCAAATAACTTGACAATGGCTTTCATTTTAGCCTTCCAAGCTTTCCTGTAAGATATGTTGTATCCATACAAACGTTGTACCCTTTCTTGAATAAGAACTGGCTTCAATGATGGATCTTCTTTTAACATACCTATATAAAAAAAACACCGGCCAACAGTCAGAATACAAACTGATTAACGTTAACATACCTTAGGAAGTTAGATATATCGAATAATACATACTGATAATGGTTGCACATATCACATCAGAATCCAACTGTCTATGATCCCGGGTAAGACCTTGGTTTAGGCAGGTGTGTTCTTTAACCCATTTACTAACCACCCAAGTATTTCCATTCTTCGGCAACAATGCCCTCACATACCAGGGACATCCATCATTATGGTGTCGACACTTCATCACAAATCTATGGTCATCACTTTTTGCCACAACGGCAGTACGGTGAGCCTTCATACAATATAATTTGACTGCATGTTGCATTTCAGATTTGCTACGAAACTCCTGATACAAATATAAAGGATCCCCTAATTGCCAGCCACCGTGATCATCATCGTCACCATACAATATCTCCGTCTCATCATTAGGGTGGGCCCAATTAATGAAGGTATAATGTGAGCTTTCATTCCAAAATGGCTCGACCTCAGAACCTACAGATGCATTATAATGCCACCGTCAATACCATTCATAACAAAAAAAATAATTGCTAAATTAAATCTTTAAAAAACAAATCTTACCACTGCTAACAGGGTCAACACGAAGTGGTCTCGTAACCTGCGAACCCGGGGATGGTGAGCTTGTGTCAGCGTCGAAATCACCCTCTACGTCAGTATCTGACGTGTCACCTAGTGGAATAACACTCTCAGGTTCACCGTCCTCATCGCTGTCCATATCGGCATCCTGTTCATCCTCATCTATTTCCCGCAGTGTTATCTGACTTATGACATGTGCAGGTGCAGATAAATCGACTACTCTTTCTTCATGACCAAAATACGGTTCACTTCTTGTATGCATGGGTGCAGATGAAGATTGACCACAATCTAATTCAACATATATCTCAATAAAATTTTGAAATTTTCGGTCAACAATTGCATCTATGACACATTCGACATCTTCATCATCACATATATCGTTACCAATGTAGTAAATAGCATCCTTACCAACTGTTGTCTCTACCCTGGCAATCATCCGTTGAACGCATTGGCTGCCTTGCAAACCCAATTTTTGCTGAATTCTCTCCTTTAACTCATTGTATGTAGTGCCCCATTTGATTTTCAACATTTTCGTTTTTCCTTCAAATTGAACACCATTGGGGCCTTCATAATGCTTTCCATCATAGTAGATCATTGTCACATACATGTTTGGACTTGTGCTCATCTTCCTCACGAAATTGGGACTTGGGTTCTGAAATTGGGGGTTTGGGTTCGGATTTTGGGGTTTGGAATTGGGCAATGACAATGATTTCACAATATTAGGTCTGTAGAGATGGTGGGATGAAATACAATCGGATTGAGAGGATTACACATGAACAAAGGGAGCTATTTAGGTTTACACAACAACAACAATCGAAATGAGACCGAAAACATGGAAAATATAGGGTTTCAGTCGATATTTAGTCGACTAAATATCGATACTTAGTCGACTAAATATCCCAAAAGTGTAGTCGATTAAGATGATTTTTTAGTCGACTAAATTTGCGGTAGTCCACTTTCTGAAGATTGACCATTTGCTCGACTAAAACAGCAAGGTAGTCAACTAAACGGGGGCAGGTTGGTGGATAGTTCTTGATCAGGGGCAAATTGGTTATTAATTAATTAATGAGGGGCAAAAGGGTCAAAAAGCCCATTGGTTCTGCTATAAGAATAAAATCTCAATCACAAACGTTTATGATGTCACTGCATATGCAAGAATATTTGCGTTAACTTTTATATGACAAACAATTTGGTTTCTTCTTTTCTTTGTGCAACGCATAGATAAAAAACTATTATTTCTATATTCTATATCATTAATACAATATACTGACCACATCAATTTTTTTTATTTGTTCTATTGCTGAAGTAGGAGCTATGATGCACGGACACGGACACGGGACACAACACGATACGTAAATTCTAAAAAATGTCATATTTGAACACGTTGGGACACGTTTTGATATTAAATAAATTTTTAATATATATAATATAATTTATATTTAATACATATAAGAGTCCATAATAAGTCATATAACTAATCAAATATTTAAATTTCATAACATAAATATAAATAAATTTTCGTACTTTGTTAATTTTTCATGTCAAATTTCATAATAGAAAAAAATTAATTTATAAATTATTTCTTTTATATTTAGTTAACAAAATAAAAATAAAATTTATTAAAAAAAAGTGTCCGAGCGTTGACTACGTGTCCAAAAAAATTGACCGCGCGTCCGAAAAACGTGTCGAAGAGTTGACCACGTGTCCCCAAATGTTGACCGCGTGTCGGATGCGTGTCCGAGTCAGACACGTGTCCGACACGCAAATTTTTTCTCATGGAGCGTGTCCGTGCTTTGTAGAGTAGGAGGCACCTTGCCGTAGAAGAGAAAGTTGAGTATGAACACAACTGCTAAGGAAGAAGTTTGACGTCATTAATGTAACATTTTTAAAGTCTATTATAGACTACATTCAATATTAAGTTACAAATCTGTTATCTATTTTATTTTTTAATTATTTTTTTAATAATTGTGCCTTCTAAAATTCAAATGTAAAAATTTATTTAAAATTTGTTAACTCTTACTAGACAAATAAATCAATTTTTTCAGTCCGTGCATCACAAACGAGTTAAAATAATAAAATAAAATACCACGACACTTGTGAGGGAGACTGACGCGTGCGTGCAAAGTGCAGACTGTTGTTGCAAATCGAAGAAATTTTCTTCCATTTTTACCAGTGCCGCCCAATTTGACCCAAAATCCATAGCCACTCTGCAAATTGAACAAAGACCCATTCGTCCTTGGAAAATCCCAGATCTCCAAAAATGGAATTTTTGCAGAGTCACAGGGTAGATATGATAAGCATGGCTGTTGCTCTTGTTGCCATTGTTGGTGGCACTGCATACTATTACTATGTCACCAAGAAGCCTAAAGGTTTCCATTTTATATTTTCTTTTTCTTTCTCGTTTCCTCAATGCCATCAACTTTATTGCTTTTTATGGTTGATCCTCCATTTTTCAAATGGGTCGAGTTGTTTTGATTTCTTTCGAAATGGGTTTCGCCTTGGTCTTAATTTATTTAACAAAAAAGCAAGTGAATGTGTCAAATTCACATGTGACATGTGAGGTTGCTGAGGGGCATAATGTCCTTGCCTTTGCAAAATGATTTGCCACAGGACAAATATAGAGATCTAAGAGAAGTCAGTTAACGAAAGAAAAGCTATGTTTTTTAATTGGAAAATCATGCTTGCAGAATATTTCTACTTAGTCGTATCATCATGGAGGAAATTTATTGGATTTAATTTGTTCTTAAAATGGCAATTTTATTTGTACATTTTTACTATAATGTAGAAACTATAACATCTTAGCTTTTTAATTTGTTATTTATCGTCTGTTATAATATCCTTTGCAATTACACTATGTTTAACTTATAATTGAAATAAAGTTGGTTCTTGAGAGATAGTATTAGAGTCTCTCTATGACTAGAGAAGAGTTGAAAGTAGGGTGGGACCATGCATTATGACTTGCGTTGCGTAATGGGTCTTGTTAGTCTGTTAGATATAAAAATTATAGGAAAAGTGTTTGTCATTTTAAATAACACAACTTATGTCCTTTCACTCTCACAAAGAGATGAGACCCATACCTTTATTTTTTTCTGTCCACTCTCTCTCCTCCTTTATCTATCTCTTTCTTTCACTTAAAATGACACAACTTTACTTCCTTTAAAATGATACATACTTTTTCCAAAAACTATTTATAAACCATCCCCTAATAAGTCATGCCTTTGGGAGAAGTTGGTTCTCAACAATAAACAAAGTTTTTACGTTTCTTGGTAGGGTGCCTGGATCCTGAGAACTTCAAGGAATTTAAACTTGTTAAACGCACTCAACTCAGCCATAATGTTGCTACGTTCAGATTTGATCTTCCTACTCCTGGCTCAGTGTTGGGACTTCCTATTGGACAACATATCAGCTGCAGGTTTGAATTTCTTGTTTCTCTTGTCCAATTCTTTTGATGATTCCAGTGCCTAATTCATTTTAGTAAGACCCTACGATGAGCTTATCGGGCTTACTGGATCGCACTCGTTGAAGGCAGTTTGATCAATTATAATGCTTTCATCTTGAATGCCTTTTGTCTACTTTACAGAGGGAAAGATAGTCTTGGTGAAGAAGTCATCAAACCATATACTCCTACAACATTGGATACCGACGTTGGATACTTTGAATTGGTTATAAAGGTTACTACCACTGACTTTTGTTTTTCAGTATTTTATTTTTGTTAATTTATATTTTATTTATACATATTGAGTTTTGCTACTATATTGTTTGGGTAATAATTAGATGTATCCACAAGGAAGGATGTCTCATCACTTTCGGGAGATGCGTGAAGGTGATTACATGGCTGTGAAGGGACCAAAGGTTTTTTAAATTTTTCCCAATATTTGTCCAAGTAATTTATTGGGTAGATGTTGTTAGATTAGCTTCTATTACACTTTAACTATTAACCTATTAGCAAGGGAGTTTTGGTTGAACTGTAATGACTAATGAGTTGGCCAAATTAATAATTAAAGTTGTTAGTCTGATCAACAAAATTGTTGTTTATTGTAAGTATACCTTGATACTCCTTGTTAAAATTCTTGAAGCATAACCCTCCTTTTTAAATAAAACTTTGACAAGATTTATTTCTTCAACTATCAGCCATATGAACCTTTCAATCTCAAAATCAAGTGATACTACATTTCTATGAAAATTTGTGGTTGTGAAGATTATGAATCTGTAATCTCTTTTTCTCTCACACAAAACACATACCTAGGGACATATGTATTCCTGTTTTTATATGTTTAATTATAATATGTTAGAGATATATAAAACTATTAATGTAACCTCACCTAATAGCTTAAGTTTTTGGGTTGAATTGGCACTTTACATGGTATCAGAGCCTCGGTGTCACAGGTTCGATCCTCACCGCCCCCTATTTAATTAATAATTAATTAAGTCTTGTGGAGTTTCTTAACACACGTAGATTGAGCCTGATGCATCATCCATTCTTCAAGCCCAATGGGCTCTCGTGTGAGGAGGCAACGGGACGTGTTATAGATATATAAAACTATTAATGTAGCCTCACCCAATAGTTTAAGCTTTTGGGTTTAATTGGTTCTTTACATAATACTTACTGTCATCACTGCTCACCAGCCCCAATTACTTTGATACTATCAATTATTGCCAACATGAATATCATTAGTGTATATTTCCCTAGGGCTAGCCTGCTACTGCCATCTCCCATACTGGTGCATGCATTTTTTTCATAGTCCAATTGAATAATTTTTTTTAATAAAATCTAACTGTTACAATTCTTTGTTATTGGAATATACTTAATTAATTAACATCTATAACGATTAGTAAAATACATTGCTGTGCTATATGTAGGTTTTTTATGGCAGTTAATTTATCAACTTGTGAGGCGAGTAATGTTGCATGCTGACTACTGGTGATCCAGCAACTTAAGTTTTTTGTCTGAGTTGTTTTTTCACAAATATGATTTATTGATACGGTTGAACATAGAATACTTCTGAATGATGAGACCCCAAAAATTCTACAGAATTTATTGAATCAATGGAGGCATAGCCTCTGTTACAAACTGATGGGGATCCAGTCCCTCAACCATTATGACATAAGCTTCAACCATTCAAATAGCTTTACATCCGTAGGAACAAGTCAAGTCAGAGGAAGTTAAATCAGAGGCAGTTAACAGAGGTTGAGGGAATGGTTGAGGAAAATGATAGAGGGGTAGTTATTGGCTGGAGTAGTGGGTAGTTATAGGAGTGGAATGTAAGTTAGGAGGGTTATGCTTGTTTAATATTATTCCCTAGGCTCCTTACGCAAAGGACTTGAAGAAATATCTTCAGTCTAGGAGCATCTTGCTCATTGTGTTTTTTCTTGCTGTGTCTTCTACTTTTTCTTCAGTTAAAAAAAAATATCTCTTTCCAAAAAGTTAGAAGAGTTGAAAGACTCATCAACTAGCGCCAATACTCTCCCTGTGAAAATGTAATGTTAACAGCAACAATGGTCAATTAACATAACAACTGAGAATAAAATTAAGGAGAACTCTGTAATGGTTTACTGATATTGAAGTAATAAAAGAAATAGAACTCTGTTACAATTAGAGCAATTCGAGAGTGCTCTATTCTCTCCTCTTTCTTACTCACTAACTGACTGAATACCCCTCTCCTCACCTTCCCATTACATATAACAAATTACAATCCATTACACGCATACTACACCACCCAAACCCGTAACTGCTTATTCCATCATGCTCTCCTACACCACATCAGCTGCCAAGTCCTCCATACTGACTTCTTCCACGTCCTCACTATTGACTTCTTCCACGTCATCCTCAAGTGTCCTTTGGCTGACTTCTTCCACGTCATGATCAAGTGTCCTTTGGCTGCGTCTTTGGTATACCTTAATAGGCTTTGTTACTGTAAAGAACCTTGGATACACCACCCCAAAAGCTAGCTCAAAGGGTGGGAGTGCCCAAGACCTTATAAACTCCACATTAATTGCACATACAACCAATGTGGGACTATATATCTCAACACGCCCCCTCACACGAGAGCCCATTGGGCTTGAAGCGTGGACAATGCAACAGGCTCGGCCTACCTGTGCTAAGAAACGCCACAAGAGAAAGTGGGGGGCGGCGAAGCTCTGATACCATCTTGAATATAAAATAATATGTTGTGTATTGATCTGTGTCAGAGAGTTACAATATATAGAGACCCTAATGGGCTTAAGTGAAAGGCCCAAACCTAAATCCTAATACAATCAAAATATTTACGGATAATACTCAATTTGGTGCTTCTATTCAAATTTTGCGAAGTGATAATGCAAAAGAATGTGTCTCTTGAGTTTTCTAATTTTTTGGAGAAACGTGGGACGTTACACCAGACCACACACTCCACAACAAAATGGAGTGGCCGAACGTAAGAATCGGCATCTGGTTGACACTGCTCGTAACCTACTAATTCATATGAATGTTCCACTTCGTTTTTGGGCAGATGCTATAATCACCTCTTGCTTTCTCATCAATCGCATGCCCTCTTCCGTACTACATAATGAAGTTCCACATAGTGTTTTATTTCCGGGAGCACCTTCCTATCCTCTACCTCCACATGTATTTGGATGTACCTGCTTTGTTCACGATCTTACTCCAGGAAAAGATAAATTAACATCCAAAGCCTTCAAGTGTCTTTTCCTTGGATATACTCGTTTTCAAAAGGGCTATCGTTGCTACTCTCCTGATCTCAAGCGTTATATTGTCTCGGCTGATGTCACTTTCCTTAATCAACAACCTTTTCATTCTATCCCATCTCAGATAACACAAGTTGATCAAGTTCTTCCTGTTCCTTTTCTTGATTTGTCTTTACCAGTTGCAGGAGACTCTATCCCGGAGGAGCAGCCCATTGCCTCCATCCCTGAAGACCGTCCTTTTCTCACCTATCAACGTCGTCAGACTGCGCCTCCAGCGATTTGAACCTTATTGACTCACCGCCTGCTATTGTCGACTCTTCCCCTCCGGATCCTCCATCAGAAATTACTCCCATTGCCCTTCGCAAAGGTATTCAATCCACTCGTAACCCTCATCCACTTTATAGTTTCTTGAGTTATGATAGACTTTCTTCACCACATTTTACTTTTGTTTCTAGTATTTCGTCTGTTTCTATTCCTAAAACCACAGGTGAAGCATTATCTCATCTGGGTTGGCGTCAGGCGATGATTGATGAAATGCAAGCACTTCACTCCAATGGCACCTGGGATCTTGTTCCTGCTCCTCCCGGAAAGTCAGTAGTCGGATGTCGATGGGTATTCACTGTCAAAGTTGGTCCTGATGGCACTGTTGATCGCCTCAAAGCTCGTTTGGTGGCCAAAGGTTACACTCAGATATTTGGTCTTGACTATGAGGATACTTTTTCTCCTGTTGCCAAGATGGCATCCGTCCGCCTATTTCTTGTCCTTGCTGCTGTTCGTCACTGGCCACTCCTTCAACTTGACATCAAAAATGCCTTTCTTCATGGTGATTTGCACGAAGAAGTTTACATGGAGCAACCACCTGGTTTTGTTGCTCAGGGGGAGTATGGACAAGTGTGTCGTCTTCAAAAATCCTTATATGGTCTCAAGCAATCTCCTCGAGCATGGTTCAGTCGCTTCAGTTATGCCGTTCAGGCATTTGGCTTAATCCGCAGTAAAGTTGATCATTCTATATTTTATAGGATTACATCTCCTGACAAGTGCATCTATTTGTTAGTCTATGTTGATGACATCATTCTCACCGGAAGTGATCAAGACGGAATTCGTCAGTTAAAACAACATTTATTCAGTGCATTTCAAACAAAGGACCTTGGGAAGCTGCGTTACTTCTTGGGAATTGAGGTGGCGCAATCTAGATAGGGCATTTCTATCTGTCAAAGGAAGTATGCCTTGGATATCCTAGAAGAGACTGGTATGTTGGGGTGTAAACCAGTTGATACACCCATGGATCCTAATGTTAAGTTATTGCCCAGACAGGGGGAGCCGTTATCTGATCCTGGACGTTATCGAAGGCTGATTGGGAAGCTCAATTATCTTACTGTGACTAGGCCAGATATTTCTTTCGCTGTCAGTACGGCTACTCAGTTCCTTGATTCCCCTTGTTATTCACATTGGGATGTTGCTGTGAGGATCCTCCGATACATCAAAGGAGCACCAGGAAAATGTTTGTTGTATTCGGATCAGGGAAATACAGAAATTTGTGGTTATTCAGATGCTGATTGGGTAGGATCACCCTCGGACAGACGATCTACTTCCGGCTATTGTGTCTTCTTTGGAGGAAATTTAATTTCGTGGAAGAGCAAGAAACAACCTGTAGTTGCTCGGTCTAGTGCAGAAGCTGAGTATCGTGCAATGGCAAATACTACCTGTGAGTTGATCTGGTTAAAGCAGTTGATTCATGAGCTTCATCTTTGTGAACAGAAACAACCCATGACACTCATCTGTGATAATCAAGCTGCGCTACATATATCCTCTAATCCTGTTTTTCATGAGAGGACCAAACATATAGAGATTGATTGTCACTTCATTTGGGAAAAGATTCAGTCAAGAGAAATCAAGACAGCTTTTGTCAACTCGTCTAATCAACTAGCAGATGTTTTCACTAAAGCTCTTAGAGGTCCTCGGGTTGAATACATTTGTAACAAGCTTGGTGCTCATAATATATACGCACCAGCTTGAGGGGGAGTGTTAGAATATTAGATATGATATGATTAGATATGATTAGATATTATTAGATATGATTGGATTCCGTCTTATCCGTAAATATTCTGATTGTATTAGGATTAGGTTTGGGCCTTTCACTTAAGCCCATTAGGGTCTCTGTATATTGTAAC